GGTTTACTCTCCTAAACATAACCAAATTGTGTTAATTTTAAAATATCATTGGACTGTTCATTTTATTTTAACAACATACTGTATGTACTAAAAGGTACAGTATTTTGACAACAAATAAATATCAGCTGTAGCAGCATCATATGAATTCTGACATTTTACACATAGTCCACCAGGAGGCGCCAACACAAAAGTCAGAGACTTCACATGAGATTTGGACCATCTTGTGGGGAAAAGCAGATTACTTCCTACTCGCGAGCGCCCCCTCTGGTGGGGAAACTTTTTTTGGGGATACAAACTTTTCAGAACACCGGTAGACGGCAGCCATTACAGACGAACATGTGTTTGTTGTTGTTCGAGGAGCGGCTCGGTCACAAACTAATGTCATTAGTTTGTTATCATTACTAAGGTGCAGGACTGCTTTTCCCCCTTTTTTACTTCACATCATGTCACCTGCCTGGATCTGTTATTATCTCACTCTGAAGCACAGAGGAGTGTCAGAGGTGAGCTCGTTTCAACTGATTTTTACAACGCAGTCTCATTTCCAGACTCCGGCATTTGGCTGATATATCAGTTAAAGTACATAAGTAAAAATATTTGTCAGAGTATAATACTACCCCCCAACTTTATGGATGATTTTATGGATTAAATTTTACGTATTATAAACAAATAAATACGGTATATAAATTATTTAATTTAACCGTCTTTAACCTGAGTAAGCTGGGAATATTAAACAATCCTCTTCAGGATAAAATATTTTGTCTACAGGGCAGGATTAAAGGACAAGGACTTTAGCCCCCAGGGGCTACAAAAGTCTCCGGTTTGTTTTAATAAAAAATATTTTATTTAGTTTTGTTTATCATTTCTTTCAAATGACTGCAGCTGTATGAAACCCTCCAGTTCAACTCTAGGTTAGAGTGAATTAGCACCCAGTGAATTTATGTTTAGAACAGAGGGGAGAAAAGTCTAATCACAAGACTTTCATTAAATTAGAATAAATCTGAGAGACTTGAGAACATTTTACTTCCACAAACATCGAAATGATTTGTTTTTCTCTAAAAGGACCGTAAATGTGTGAAAAACCTTCTGAGGCTCGTCCTTCACGCTCGCCGCAGACGAGGAGGACACCAGCGCCCGCTCGTACTCCTCGTCCATCGGCTCGTCCTTCACTTTGGCCAAAGGAGGCGAAGGAGCCGGAGACGACTTGATGGGCTTCGCCACGGCTTCCAGGTTCTCCTGAAACCAGAACAGGAGCAGCTTTTTAACAARAAGGGACGAGTTCTAACCCAGGATCCGGCTTTCAGCTCGGCGCCGGCAGGAAGGAGCCACGTACAGAATCAGAACCCTGCAGCTGCAGCTCCACCACCTTCATCCCGTTCAACATGGTCACTGGAGAGCCGTCTCTTTCTGCAGAAACAAACACACGAGTCAACCAGACCCAACACTGACTCAGCATTTTTACTCATACAACAAAAACATGGCTTTTAATCTCTCGTTTTCATACTTTAAATATTTGACTTTATTTACAGATATTTTCTTCACAGAACATTAAGAGCTCATTTCCTTTAAAACTTTTTTAATGTTTGCGTCACAAACTTCATCACCAAGAATTTGAATTTTTATTTTTATTTATTTTGAAGGTCTTCCCGCCCAGCTGCAGCTCTGAAGTCACCCACCTGTACTGGTGGCGGCGTCGGACGACGGAGACGAGGCGGACTGAACCAGATCGGAGGCCGAGGGTTTGACGTCAGCTTCGTCCTCTGCAGTTTGGAAAGATGAAAACATGGAGCTGGTTTTAAAATCACAGCTGCTGTTTTGGAGCTGAAGCTGATAAAAGTCAGTAAAGAAAGAGCGAAGCTGGAAAATTAAACTGGACTAAAGGGGAGAAACGAGAACCAGACCCAAACACTGAGGTTCTGACCTTGAAGCTCACATTCCTGCAGGTTCAAGGGATCCACGATTTGTTGTAACATTAGACTTTATTTAAAAAAACATTTATTTTAACTGTAAAATAAAGACTAAAAATACTGTAGTCTGCTAATTTTGTAAATTTTTAAAAATACATTTTAACATGGACGGGGCCATTTTATTTACACACAAAGCATTCTGGGTAAATGGTGACGTGGATAGGTCCTCTGTGCGAGGCTGCTAGCGAGCTATATCCACCCTGAAGGTTAATCTTGGACAATATCTGATG